TGGGTCTCAAGGACTGACTATCCTGACATCCTTTCCTGCCTTCAGGTAGGCCACCATGGCATGCTGCCAGGGGGTACCGACCTGCCCCTTAAGGAGAGGACAGGATGGGTGGTGCCTCTGGCTGACACTCTGTGCACAACCCTCACAGCGCTGGTGACAGTGGGAAGGGAAAGAAGACAAGCCAGGGGGCATGATACTACCGTGTGTAGGAGAAGCTTCTAAATTATCCACTAGCACAGGTACGTGGCCCCCCTTGCATGAACGTGCATAGAAACAGGTGGCGGCCAGCAGGCAGAGAAAAGGGGTGAGGGTATAAAAGGGCCCACAAGGGACCAGCTCCAGGATCCCAGGGCCCAAATCCCCAAACCATGGAGAGTCCTGTGGACAGCTCACCTAGCTGCAATGGCTGCAAGTAAGAGCCCCTAAAATCCCTATGAGCAGGATGTGTCTGGACAGGAGAGGCAGCGCCCTGTAGATGGGACGGGGGCACTAACCCTCAGGTTTGGGGCTTCTGGATGTGAGTATCACCATCTAAGCCCAGATATTTGGCCAATCTCAGAATGTTCCGGGTCCCTGAGGGAGACCTTTTCAGAGGCTGGAAGATGGCAGCTTCTGGAATGGGGAGATCTTCAGGCAGACATACAGGTAGTTTGACATAAACTCATAGAAAGATAACGCATTGCTCAAGAACTACGGGCTGCTCTACTGCTTCCGGAAGGACATGGACAAGGTCGAGACATTCCTGCGCATTGTGCTGTGCTGTTCTGTGGAGGGCAGCTGTGGCTTCTAGCTGCCAGGTGGCATCCCTGCAACCCCTCCCTATTGCCTCTCCTGGCCCTGGAAGGTGGCACTCCAGTGTCCACCAACCCTGTCCTAATAATATTAAGTTGTATCATCTTGTCTGACTAGGTGTCCCTCTCTAATATTATGGGGTGGGGTGGGGGTATGGAGTAAGGGCCAGGTTGGGAAGACAACCTGCATGGCCTGTGAGGTCTATTCAGAACCAGGCCGCTGAAACATAATGAGCTTGATGTTCCTGGGTCAGAAGAAAGCCGGCACAGCACTGCTGTCTATTACTTACTGAGGCCACTCCGCCAGATCAGTGCTCCCAGCTTGCTGGTCACAGCTCACTGATCATCCCAGTGATGATTAGAAGGCATTTCTTCCTCCCCAACCATCACCAGCAACACCAAAGCTAGCCCCCCAGGAGTGGGAATAAATGAAAACAAGACAGGCTATTAAGTACAGAGGCAAAAGTTCCCCAAAAAGTGAGAAAACGATGTCTTGGAATTGCTTGTGTGCAGAAGAATTTTAAGATAAATATTCCTTAAGCACAACTACGCTGGGGAACTGAGAACAATGCAAAAATGAGTTTGAAACATATAGAACGAGAGCATTTGGGATCTGCATTAGGGCAAGAAAGTGGAAGAGACATTTTATTTGGATTTCCAAATGCAGTGCCAGCAGGTGCCACAACCCCTAGACCTCCCTCTCCTTCTCACAGTCTATCCCGACACGCGTCAGCAAAAAGGAAACTCAGATAGATAGCAATGGAGGTAATGGGGGCTTGATGGGAACGGATAAATCTCAGCTGATACTCGCTTCCCATAGTGGGATGCAACACAGAGGTGTGGGAACCAGCAACACCTGCAGAACTCACAATCCACATCTAAGTCCGCGGCACCGGCTAAAAGGTCCTGTCATGGGGCCTCCATGTCCCAGGTGACAATTGGAGGAAGGATGTTGGGGGACACAGAAAGCTACGTGGAGCTCAGGGACCCTCCTCCATTCCCACCTGGCTGCTCCTCTTTGGTGGTGCTGGAAGGAGCAGGGGTAACTGGTGTCTCCACCCTTCCAATGAACCCATGTTTCTCAGAGCTGGTATCATTGATGACATCCCTCTCGGGTTCTCCCACAGGCCTGCCTGGAGAACAGCCCACAGCCCAGTGCCCTCCGAGCAGCTGATGCGTCTGGGGTGCTGGTCAGGTTGTGCTTCAGGAATGACGGCAGAAAATGAGCTCCGACTTCTACTCTGAAAAGCGGGAGGTGGCAGGGCCCAGCATTCACATCCTAGACCACAGGGGTGTGGGTTTTCAATGTTGGTTGGCAACACCATAGCCAACCACTTCTAGAAGTGTTTGCTGATTTCCTTGCTTGCATTTCTACAGTGTCTCATGCTGGATGTCCTTAAACTCAGGGGTGAAAGATTTCAGGGCAGGAGAGGGTGTTCTTTCCTGCTCTCATCTCTTGGGGCATCTGATGCTTATGACCTCTAGATGATATTGAAATAGCCCCAACCCTGGGCACCAGGAGACAAGAGGCTCAGTCCTGGCCTTCTCTGCCTTCGCCATGTCCTGCTGTGAGGTTTCCACAAGGCACCCAGTGCCACTGGGCCATTCTCACCTGGGAATTGAGGGAGAACAATCTGCCCCTTATAGAAGGACAAAATGAGGCAAAGGGCTGCTTGTATTGGGGGCAGGATCCCTGGACTCAGAGAAATTTAGAAGCTGAAATAACTGGGTTGGATCTCAGCACTTTGTGAGGCCAAGGCAGGCAGGTTACCTGAAGTCATGAGTTCAAGACCAGACTGGCCAACATGGTGAAACCCCATCTTTACTAAAAAAGTACAAAAATTCTCCTGCATAGTGGGGGGCACCTGTAATCCCAACTACTCAGGAAGCTGAGGTGGGAGAATGCCTTGAACCCAGGATGAGAGGCTGCAGTGAGTCAAGATCATGCCACGGCACTGTAGCCTGGGTGACAGAATGAGACTCCATTTTGAAGGAGAAGACGGAGAAGGAGGAAGGAAGGAAAAAGAAGGAGGAGGAGGGGAAGGAAGAGGAAAGAGAAGGAGAAGAAGAGGAAGAAGTGGAGGAGGAGGATGAATAAGAGCCAGCAGAAATAACTAAAGGAATAGCACCATGCTACCTGCACTGGGGAAAGGACTTTTTTCTTTCTTTCTTTCTTTTTTCTTT